AATCTCTAAAATCTACAAGATACTGCAAAACCTCAACAACAAAAAGACAAATAACCCAATTAAAAAATGGGCAAAGGATATCAACAAGCACTTCGACAAAGAAGATATTCAGGAGGCTAACAGACACATGAGGAAATGCTCACAATCATTAGCCATTAGACAAATGCTAAGCAAAAACTACAATGAGATACCATCACACCCCGACAAGGCTAGCATTAATCCAAAAAACACAAAATAATAAATGTTGGAAAGGTTGTTGAGAGACCGGAACACTTATACACTGTTGGTGGGAATGTAAAATGGTACAACCACTTTGGAAATTGATTTGGCACTTCCTTAAAAAATTAGAAATAGAAGTACCACATGATCTAGTAATGCTGCTCCTTGGAATATATCCTAGAGAAGTAAGAGCCATCACACGAGTAGATATATGCACACCCATGTTCAGTGCAGCACTGCTCATGATAGCAAAAAGATGGAAACAACCTCGGTGCCCATTAAAAGCCAAATGGATAAACAAATTATGGTATATTCACACAATGGAATACTACGCAACGGTAAAGAATAACAATGAATCTGCAAAATATCTTACAACATGGAGGAATCTGGAAGGCCTTACACTGAGTGAATTTAGTCAGTCCCAAAATGACAAATATTTTGTAAGACTACTATTATAAAAACTCAAGAAAAATTTAAACACAGAAGAAAACATTCTTTGATGGTTACGAGGGTGGGGAGGCAGCGAGAGGGGTATTCACTAACTAGATAGTAGACAAGAATTATCTTAGGTGAACGGAAGGACAGCACACACTAGAGGGGAAGTTAACACAACTGGACTAAACCAAAGCTAAGAAGTTTCCTGAATACAACCAAACACTTCGAGGGACAGAGTAGCAGGGGCAGGGGTCTGAGGACCATGGTTTCAGGGGACAGTGGCATAACAAAGTTTATTATGAAAATGTTTTGTACCTCGCTTTGGTGAGTGGCGTCTGGGGTCTTAAAAGCTAGCGAGCAGGCATCTAAGATGTATCAATTGGTCCAAACTCACCTGGAGTAAAGGAGAATGAAGAACGCCATAGACGCAAGTATTAGCCCAAGAGACAGAAAGGGCCACATAAATCAGAGACTCCATCAGCCTGAGACCAGAAATAGATGGTGCCTAGCTACCACCTATGCCCGCCCTGAAAGGGAACACAACAGAGAGTCCCTGACGGAGCAGGAGAAAAGTGGGGCACAGAACTCAAATTCTAGTAAAAAGACAAGACTCAATGGTTTGAGACTAGAGGGACCCCTGAAGACATGGCCCCTGGACTCTCCGTTAGTCCAAAACTAAAACCATTCCTGAGGCCAACACTTTAGACAACGATTAGACAGGACTATGGGATATAAAATGATACTTGCGAAGAGTGTGCTTCTTAGCTCAAGTAGATACATGAGACTAAATGGGCAGCTCCTGTCCAGAGATGAGATGAGAAGGCAGAGAGGTTTAGGAGCTGGTTGAATGGACATGGGAAATCTGGGATGGAAAGGAGGAATATGCTGTCACAGTATAGGGAGAGCAAGTAGGGTCACATAACAATGTATGTATAAATTTTTGTATGAGAGACTAGAATTGTAAACTTTCACTTAAAGAACAGCAATAAAAAAAAGATATTACAATTTCTAATAAATTATTGCCACTATATAGAAAAAAAAATCAAATGACCCATTGCCTTGGAAACCCTATGGGGCAGTTCTACCCTGTCCTATAGGGTCACTATCAGTCAGAATCAACTCAATGGCAATGGGTTTGCTTTTTGGTTTTGAATCTTTACGGAAGGAGACTACCATTTCTTTCTTCCAACCAGGGGCTTGTGGGTTTGAACAACAGACCTTTTGGCTAGCAGCCAAGTGCTTAACCATTGGGTCACCAGGGTAAGTTGTAATATGATTTAATTTCCCAAATGTATATTTTATAATTATGGCAGTTCCTTGCAAGGCCCACCATCAGTGGCTATCTTTACAGAAAATTAGTTCTTAGGCCAAACTCACACTCAAGATTCACAGATGATTGTTTTTTCAAGTAAAATCATGACCTTGATGTTTCAACGAATGAAAAATTAATGAATTTTTAAATAAAATTAAGTCATATTGCTGTATTTTTGGTAGTATTTTTTGGGGATTTTTTTTGGTTTTTGTCTCAAAGCATATGTCCTGTCTTCCGTGAACAGCATCAGTGGAACTGATTATGGTTAAGAAAGAGAGCCAGTAAAATGTTTGTCTAGTTAAGTTTGCAAATGCCCAACTCCATAAATTTTTCCTCTCACGTATAAAAATAATTGAACAGGGTTGATAGCAAACTACAGATTTTGCTTTGGTAAAAAACAACCCAAAATATCATTCCTTTGGCACCAGGGTGTTTATAAAAATAAAAATGGTTTAAGTCTTCAGTCTGTCTGCTTCCATCAGCTTTGAAAAGCTGTACCTAACTTTGTTGAAGTCATATTAATCAGAAACACCAAGAATTATGCAGTTTTGAGATTTCTTTAAAAAATCTCTATTTATGTAACAAAATAAATTCGGGGTTTTGCCATATTAATACAAAACTCCTCTTTGCATATCACCTCCCTCAAAATTTCTCAGAGACAATTACTCAGCGACATTCACTCAAGCTTTTACTGGACCGTGTAAGTGGGACTGTTTTAGGATACAAAGGCGACTAAAAGCTTCCAGCAAGGTTGTGGAATCAGGCGACACAAAGCGCGGAGGCGACCCCCAAAGAGGGAAAACCGTAGAGGAGCCTCAGCGCCGACTGGGGGGTCTTCGCTTTCCAGATCCTCCCTAAAACTGATTTCATAGGTTCTCTGAATAAAAAGCACTTAGTTGCCGAGCAATACAGTGCAAACAACTACGACGCCAATGCAAAACATTTAAAGTTGCGGGTAAGGCAGAAAATATTTTCATTTCAAGATTTCATCTGTGGACGAAAGAAACTTAGCCAAAGTCCTCGAGGAGCCTCCGCCTGACTGTCCCGAAACTCCGCCCCCAGAGGCGGCCCCGAGGAGAAAGGCCCGCCCCTCGTGCCCAAGACCACCTGCGGACGACCAGCGCGCGTGCGCGTAGATTACGTCATATCCGGCGCAGGGGCGCACGTTTGCGGAAGGGGTTGCATATTTGTGGCGGTAGCTTCTGCGTAGGTGATCAGTGTATCTTTCCTCTCAGACGGGCGGGTTTCACGGCAGCATCATGGTCGAGGTACAGTGACACCTAGGCGCTCAGCAGTCGTGTGCCTCTCTGGACTGCTTTTCTCTGGCGGCAGGCGTGGGTGATAGCGTGTGTTGGGAATCTGGGGCGATAGGAGGCCGCGAGGCGAGGTTGTTTGGCCGAGGCCGGGCCGTCTCTTAAGGTTTTCGGGGAGGGAAGAGGCCGGATGAGAGCACAAGTTTGAGGCCGGAAGCTTGAGATAATTTCTTTAGTCCTCATTTGGCCCTTGGGAGGTGGGCACTGTCCTCGTAGTTGAGGCTTCTGTTGATGATCGACCACTGGTACTCGCCGCCTGCAGGGGAGTGTCAGTAATTCTGAATCATAAGACTATTGGTCTTTTCTGTCTTGTTGGTTTCTTATCGCAGGAAAACCTGCCATTCTTGAGTTTTTGCATCGTTTCCTAGCTTGAATACCCATTCTCTTAGCAGATCATGTTTGCCTTATCTCAGAAATGTTTCAGCTCTTTCCAGTTTTCTCCATATCCATTGCAATCACCTTAATTCAGACCATCTTTTGCCTAGACCACCGCATTAGCTCCCAGCTGGTCTCCTTGCTTCCATGTTTGTGCCTCTCTAAATTGATCTGTTTAAAATGTAAGTTGGTCACGCCTTCCTTGCTAAAAACCCTTTCCAAGAATACGGATTGTTGTAATGGTTTAAAAAGACCTTACCTGATTTGGACCTTGCCTAATCTTGCAATCTCATCTTGCAACAAAACCCACTCCCTTGCCCAACACACAGCTGCCGTGCGGCTCCTGGTGTTATTTCAGTTACTGAACATCTTCCTACGTGAGGGTTTCCCTTTGTCGGAATTGCTCTTACCACCAGTCTGAGCAAGGGAATTCCCCCTCTGCTTAAATGTTACCTGAGAGAGATCTTTCCTAACTATCCTACATAATTTTCTTTCTCCTATTTATGTCTCAGCCTCTTGTTATCTTCATAGCACTAATCAAAATGTGGGACTATTTTGCTTATTTTCATTTCTCTTTCTCCTTGAGCAAAGGGAACTTGACTTTTTCATCATTCTGTTCATAGCTTCTAGCACAGTACCTGCCAGACACAGTGTGCACTGAATAAATGTGTAGTATAATTGAGTAAATCTCAGACTTTGATGGACCTGGGGCTCTGGCCAGAGAGCAGCTTCCTTCTCTTTTCTAAACTTGACTCTTAATAGCTTGCTGCTGGGAGCAGTGGTGAGTTGTATTAAACTTTTTACCTATGTAAATGTGTAAAGTACATAGCACTTTGGCTCTAATTTAGCTTATGACGTGTAATTTGTAGCTAGATGTGTAATTGCACTCTTTCTTTTCAGGAGGTGCAGAAACATTCTGTGCACACACTTGTGTTCAGGTCATTGAAGAGGACCCATGACATGTTTGTAGCTGATAATGGAAAACCCGTGCCTTTGGATGAAGAGAGGTAGCATAGTTCTTTATCAACTGCTAGAATATTGAAACTTCTAACATTTGGGAAAGAAGGGAACTATTTAATCCTTGAAGGATTAGTTAGTAATACTAACACTCATAACTATGCAATAATGAGTGTTGCTTTTGCATGATTTAAGCTGATTTAACTTTTTTTTTGGCCTTATTGTTCATAGTAAAAATCCCATTAATTGATTGCATTTTAGAAATACCCAATAATTAGGAGAGTCCCTTTTAGGTGTTTTATTTTATAATCAAATCACTTTGTATGTGCTTTCAGCTTCCCGCTGCTCTCAGAGCCTTGCTGAGCTGAAATTGTACCTGTCCAGTACCTCTACTCCCACCTTTTCTCGTTAGTATGATGAAGATTTTTCAGTGATGGCATATTTTTGGTTCTACATCTCCAGCACCAGTCTGGGATTGCATTATGTGCAGTGTTCCTTCTTTGTCCTTTACCCTTCTTTTGAAGTCTTCTTAATTCCTCAGACAAGCATTTATATTTGATTTATAAAGTGGACTGTACTTAAAAATAATATAAGTGCATTTCTTTTTAAAACGTTGAACTAATTAAGTACTTTGATTAGTTCTAACTAACCTTCTTAGATAAATCCAATAAAAGTTGTTACAGAAGCTTTTACTATATTTTTATACTGAAGCATTTGAAGGAAAATATGTTGACTTTGAAGTTTTGAAAAGAATATATTAGTCTCTGTTTTTAGATGAGTTGGACTGTTGATAATGCACCATGACAGACGTTGTATTAGCTAACAAGCTAAAATACTGCTTAGACTTCATGGATGCTATGTGGTAGAACGTGAGCCAAAGTCAATATGTGATATGGAAATGTACTTGGAAATTTTGGAAGTTAAAGCTAAACTGCTGTCTAACTTTAAAATCTTAACAGAAGCTTTTTCTACACGGTTATGCAAACTTAAGTTATTTAAGTACTTGTTCTCAGGTTAGCTATAAACGTTTGCGCCGATGAATATATTTAAAGTATTTAAAAATACATTCTTATGTTTATAATTTTTAAATAGTCACAAACGAAAAATGGCAGTCAAGCTTCGTAATGAGTATGGTCCTGTGTTGCATATGCCTACTTTAAAAGAAAATTTTAAAGAGAAGGGCCTTCAGAATTCATCAGATTCATATGGTCACAAACAATATCCTGACAATCAAGGTAAGTATGGTGTTATCAGAAATATCAGAACTTGAAATGTGGATTTTGAAATTAGAAAAATAAGATGTCTTATTAGCACCCCTTCTAGAAGAACTAATTGGAACCATACAGTATTTAACCATTATACTAGGACTGTACTAGAAGTCTTGAATTCCTCCTGAGAGTAGTGATTGAGATCATTAGTTGGTGGTTTCTCTCTTACAGGAAGTAAAGGTGGTAGTATAATAATGGCAGACATTCTTAGGATGTGGAGAAGGTCACAGTGGAGACCAAAGGAAAAATTTGGAGAATATTCCTAAACTGTGGCGAGACCATCTATCTTGGCTATAGGTCAGAAATATGGTGTTAAGTACTAATGTAACTGAAAATGGTGCTGAATAAGAGAATCCAAGATTCCACAGGGAAACTGTTTACTTGATTAAAAAAACCCAAAAAACAGAGTGAATTAACCTGATAGGATGACCCTTCTACCCACCACTGCTATATAGTAAATGCACATACTTTATTGATCTCAGATCAGCAAAGAGGCAAGGAAATAGCTCTGTACATGGTCTTCAGAGGTCAAACAAAAATGACCAACTTCCCTTATTTTTGAGACCTGAGTTTAGTTGTGAAATTTTGAGAAATCTAGCTGATTAATATTATTATTTATTAAAAGAGATAATACTTGTATATAAGAAGAATTCACTGTATGAGGGTGACAGCTTTCTCCCCCCCCCCACCCGTTTAGGGCAAGAAGTTGAATACTTAGTGACGGGTACACATCCATACCCACCAGGACCTGGTAAGTCAGCTGTTACATACTGAAAATGTCCTATTGTGACATGTATATCCAAGGATGATTCCTGTTGCCTATAAAATACAGAGTAAGTTCACTAACTCTGCATCCAGTCATAGCTTTTTAGATGATAGTTAACTGATACTTAGTATCACATGCATTCATTCAGCAAACATTCCTAAGCACCCGTATTTTTTCGGGCACTGCATTAATAATTCAAAGACAGTGAGACTGCTCCTGGCCTAGTCAAGAAACATGTTGTGTGTGTGTGTCACACAGAGGGAGTGTCCAGTATAACAAGGTGGAAGAAAAACAAAACTTAATATAACTAGATTCTAGTAATTTTAGAGAGTAGGCTTTACCATAAAGAAAATAGGGGTGAATTGGATGTTTTTTGTTTTAGTGATTAACATTCATTCTTGGAAACTTTTGCTAGTATTTGGGGAACTGCTTAATTTTTACATCTGAAGATAATGTTCCCAGATAATAAAAATGTAACTTTTACTCTTTGGGCTATTTGAATATCAGACTGATCAAATTGGATTTGAAGTATGTGTTATTCATCAATATTTATTATTTTTGTTATCACTAATTGTTTATTGTAAAAAAAAAGTTGGAAGCAAAAGAAGAAAAACTTAATCAAGTTTTGTATTAACACCACCTGGAGATAATCACCATTACCTTTTCGGCATATGTTTTCCTTCTGTATTTTATTTTAAATGCGTGTAAATGAAAACAAAGATAGCTACTAAAAGGAAATTTTTTTTTATTTATATAAGGGGTTGCTTTGACAGCAGATACTAAGATTCAGCGAATGCCAAGTGAATCAGCTGCGCAATCTTTAGCTGTGGCATTACCTTCTCAGGCCAGGTATGAAATATTTTTATGCTTCTAATTATAAAGATTTTGAAAACATCTTTCACTGTTGATTTTTTTTTTCTCATTTTTAAGCGTTTCTTTATCATTAATGTATGACATTTTCCTTTATCAGTGTTTAAAAAAAATTAAAGGGTTGGTTCTGCAGGACACATGAGTGGGGCATTAGTTACTTAGAATGTAGTGTTTCTCTTGCTTCAGGGTTGATGCAAATCGCACTGCCCCTGGTGGAAGTGAATACCGACTTCCTGGGGCCTCTGACCGGTCACAGCCTCCAGTGATGACTTCAGTAAGTGTTCCTGTGTCAAATAATATTGATGGTCTCTCACTTCTGGGATATGTGATCTAGTTTCTCTTCATCCCAAAAATCTTCTTAAAATATTAAAGAAATGAACACTTCCTTGGAATTATTAAAGTAGATAGCAGCCTGAGCTAGCTGTTAAGATTTCATAATCCTAAAACTTGGTTTGTTAGTGAATTGACGTATTTTTTTAGAATTTAAAATTCTGTTAATTTAGGATATTGTGATTCTCACACATTATAGATAGTATGCATTTGGTGAAGATAATGTTACGTTACTATTTATTATCTGTTATTAAAAATATTAGAGGAGTGTTGTTCTGAAACTTGTGTTAGGTGTTAATGTATATTAGACATAAAAGTATTTTTTATAAAATTTTAAGTTGATTTATGTAATTAAGAGTCGAGTGCTATTAAAAAAAAAAGAAAAGAAAAACCAAAACCCGTTGCTGTTGAGTCCATTCCGAATCATAGTGACCCTGTAGGACAGAGTAGAACTGCCCCATAGAGTTTCCAAGGAGCAACTGGTGGATTTGAACTGCTGACCTTTTGGTTAGCAGCTGTAGCTCTTAACCACTGTACCACAAGTGCTATTAGTATTGTAATATTCATGGGTAGTAAAACTACTGTCTTATAAATGAGCATTTAGAAATACATGAGTTTATGTGTAAGTAAATGGCAGCTGCTTTTGTTCGTCGAAGTAGTTATAGAAAGAATACACTAAAAACATGCAGTTTAGTTTACATTATGAACTTTATTATCAGTTGAAGTGAGTGTAGTTGGTACTTCCCCAGTTTATTATACAAGTGATTTGTCTTTATGAAGCGAATGCATTTGTAGCCCTCATACCACACTTTCTCTTGTAACCTGCATTCTCAGATCTCTCTGCCCAGGCCTTTTACTGCCTTCGTTGTCATTAGGTGCTGTCAAGTCAGTTCCGACTCATAGCAACCCTACAGGACAGAGTAGAACTGCCCCATAGGGTTTCCAAGGAGCAGTTGGTGGATTTGAACTGCTGACCTTTTGGTTAGCAGCTGAGCACTTAACCACTGCGTGACCAGGGCCCCTCTACTGCCTTAGGAAGATGTAATGTAAGCTTCTTGAGGATAGAAGCTTTGCTTTGTTTTCACTCTGTACCCTCAGCACTATAACAGTGCCTGATGCAGAGTATGGGCTTAAATATTTTTAGATGGATGGATGGACCACCACCACCAGTTGCTGTTGAGTCAGTTCTGACTTGTGGTGGCCTCGTGTCAGAGTAGAACTGTGCTTCATAGGGTTTTCAGTGGCTGATTTTTTTGGAAGTAGATTGCCAGGCCTTTCTTCCTCTATGGCAACAGTAGATGTTATATCAACTAGTATGCCTTTTAAAGTAGAATTTAAATACTGTAATACCATCATAACTATGAGGTAGGCACTGTTAGCCCCATTTTACAAAAAGAAATGATGTAATTTTTACCCCAGCTGGGATCTGAAGCCATACACAGAGACCTGTGCTTTTGAACACTCAAATATCCTTCCTCTGTTGGGTTTTTTAATTGCTTTCTAAAACTGAAATTAACATTGAAGAAAATACAGCTCTGATGAAACATCTTAGACTTATTTTAACTTTCACTAATTTCAGGGCAGGTAGACCCATTCATACACCCCTCTTTTAGTTTCCATTATTCAGTTGATAAAATGAAATGTTAGGTATGATATCTTTAATGATAATGTAATCTGTTCTGTATCTAGGTTATTATGGAGGCTGGAAATGCCAAGAACTCTGCACTGATGGCCAAAAAAGCCCCTACGATGCCAAAACCCCAGTGGCACCCACCTTGGAAACTGTACAGGGTGAGTTAATTGCAAAGAATGATTGATTTGCAGTTGACAAAGCCTGAAGAATAGAAGAACAAGAAGGAAAAAGAGTAAATATGAGAACTCGTAGAGTGATATGAGGGGGATGGGAGAGGATTTAGGCACTGTCTTAAAAGATATCTTGGGAAGGAGACTTCTTAAGCTTACTTGTATTTTGTGTAAAATGCAGTATAAAATATTAATAGAATGTTAGTAAATGTCAAGAGCGGAAGAGACAAATTTAGGAAAGTGTTTGAGATATTTATGAAGGGCAGGAAGGCCGTATAAGGAAATTTCTTTGGACTTACCAATTCCCTTTCTGGGTATAATAAATTAAAATGACTCAAAATATACCATATCTAAAATAAAATGTGTATAGCAGGAAAAAAAAACTAGATATGATTTAATATATATATTTTAAATTTTATTTTTCAAATTATTATGCAGTAAAATAGACTTCTCTTTCGTTTACAATTTTTAATAGATATGTAGACTTGGATAAGCATTACCACAGTCAGGATATAGAAGTTCCATCACCTCATAAAAAACCCTTTTGCTATCCTTTTATACTCCTGCTCTTCCCCACCCCTGGCAACCATTTATCTGTTTACCATTACTGTAGTATTGTCTTTTTGACTGTGTGTCATAAATGGAATCTTAAGTATGTAACTTTTTGAGACTGGCTTCTTTCATGCAGCTTAATGCCTTTGAGATTCATCCAAGTTGTTGCACGTATTAATAATACATTCCTTTTTATTGCTTAGTACTGTTTCGTTGTGTAGATGTTCTACAGTTTATGCATCCTTTCACACATTGGAGATTATTTCATTATTATCATTCTAAAACCTAATTGTCACATAATCTCATAAGTTGATAATTTGAATACATGGGAGGAGCATTTCAAACCCTGGTGGTGGTTAAAATTGAATAAACTTTTAACTGTGTCGATGAATCTGCACATGCTTTTTCCCCCACAGGTCATCAGTGGGCACCTCGGCTGGGTTCGCTGTATTGCTGTGGAACCTGGAAATCAGTGGTTTGTTACTGGATCTGCCGACAGAACTATAAAGGTAATAACAAGGAAGAAAAAAATAAAACGTAACTGTGCTTGCCATGTAAGTTTAACCTGTGACAAGTTATTTCCTGTTGTGAGAATTGCTGCTGCAGTTTCTCTGAGCATTTAGATCTGAGTAGAAGTAAATTCTGTTGTATGCCAGTTAATTTTTCCAAATAAGTCTTGTTTAAAGATTGGTATTCAGCAAATTTAAGCCAATGCTTACCCTCAGATTGGTCCAGTTATCTTCCTGAAATAAATGCTGACTATTTACCACAAATTTCTTGATACTTAATCTCTTTTTCTTTTGGTATCAAAATTAAAGCATGCTCATTTATAGAGAATATGGAAAATATACCAAAACCCATTGCCATCAAGTTGATTCCAATTCATAGTGATCCTCCTATACAACACAGTAGAACTGCGCCATAGAGTTTCCTAGGCTGTCCTTTACAGAAGCAGACTGCCACGCCTTTCTCCCAAGGAGCTGCTTCTGTGTTTGAACTGCCGACCTCAGTTGGCGGCCCCACTGTACCACCGGGGCTTCTTGTGGAAAATATAAAGAACTATAAAAGAACATAAACCTATCCATAATCATACCACTGTTAGGTATTTGAATGAATTTCTTTTAATGTTTATTTCTGTGCATGTGTATCAGTCAGTGCATTTCTTTCTGTGTGTGTAAATGTGTTTTTAAAAAGTCATGCTTGGTATGTAATTTTGTATCTTGTTTTTTCACTCAACGTTGTATCAAAGGCATATTCCTGTTAAAAATTCCACCTTTTAAATGGTAGTGTAACATTCTATCATTTAGATATTTTGTAATCCATTTTTCTATTCTTGGACATTAAAGTGTTTCCTAATATTCACTATTACTATAGTTAATCTTTGTGCATAAAGCTTTTTCTGTATTGTGTTATGTTAGATTCTCAAAAATAGAATTAATGGGTCAAACATTTTTGAGGTTGATACCTAAAGTACAGATTATTTCTTAAAATGAGTGGGTTGATCTTGTGGTCTGGTCCTTTTCACCACAGTGATTGTGTATCCCTTGTAAAATATCTATTACTGTGACAAGCAAAAATGGGTATCTAATCTTTTTAAAAACTGTTTGTATAAAATTTCTAGTGAGTGCTCACTTTGGCAGCACATTTACTAAAACTGGAATGATAAGAAAAGATTAGCATGGCCCTTGCGCAAGGATGATACACAGTTCATGAAGAAAGCAGCAGAAGAAGCCTTCAGGTGCCAGAAGAAAGGAAATAATAAGAATTAGAGCAGAATTAAATGAAATAGAGAATAGAAAAACAATTGAAACTGGTTCTTTGAAAAGATCAACAAAATTGATAACCCATTGGCCAAACTGACAAAAACGGGAGGAAGCAGATAACCCGTATAACAAATGAGATGAGTGATATCACAACAGACCTGACTGAAATTAAAAGAATCATAACAGAATACTATGAAAAATTGTACTCTTAACAAATTTGAAAACCTAGAGGAAATGGACAAATTTCTAGAAACTACCTACCTAACTACCTAAACTAACAAATAGAGATACAAGAACTAAATAAACCCATAACAAAAGAAGAGATTGAAAAGGTAATTAAAATCCCAATAGAAGAAAGCCCTGGCCCTAACCACTTCACTGGAGAATTCTACCAAACTTTCAGAGAAGAGTTAACAACACTACTGCTAAAGGTATGTTACAGCATAGAAAAGGATGGAATACTCCCAAACTCATTCTGTGAAGCCAGCATAACCCTGATAGCAAAACCAGGTAAAGACACCACAAAAAAAGAAAATTACAGACCAGTATCCCTCATGAACCTTGACGCAAAAATCCTCAACAAAATTCTAGCCAAAAGAATTCAGCAACATATCAAAAAAGTAATTCACTATGATCAAGTGGGATTTATACCAGGTATGCAGGGATGGTTCAACATTAGAAAATCAATCAGTGTAATTCATCACATGAGTAAAGTAAAAGACAAGAACCAGTTGATCTATCCATTGATGCAGAAAAGGCATTCGACAAAAGTCCAACACTGATTCATGATAAAAACTCAACAAAATAGGAATAGAAGGGAAGTTCCTCAGTATAATTAAGGGTGATTTTACAAAGCCAACAGCCAGCATCATCCTAAATGGAGAGATTTTGAAAGCATTCCTCTTGAGAACAGGAACCAGACAAGGTTGCCCTTTATCACCACGCTTATTCAACATTGTAGTGGAGGTCCTAGCCAGAGCAGTTAGGCAAGAAAAAGAAAGAGGGCATCCAAATTGGTAGGGAAGAAGTCAAAGTAGCTCTGTTTGCAGATGATAGGATTTTATACACAGAAAACTCCAAAGAATCCACAAGAAAACTACTGGAACTAATAAAAGATATCAGCAAAGTTTCAGGATACAAGATAGACCTACAAAAATCAGTTGGATTCCTCTTCACCAACAAAGAGAACCTTGAAGAGGAAATCAAATCAATACCATTTACTATAGCCCCCAAGAAGATAAAATACTTAGGAATGAACCTAACCAGAAGCATAAAAGATTTATAAAATGAAAACTACAAGACGCTACTGCAAGAGACCTGCATAAGTGGAAGAACATACCTTGCTCATGGATAGGTAGACTCAACATTGTGAAAGCGATCTACAGATACAATCCCCGTCCAAGTTCCATCAGTGTTTTTTAATGAGGTGGAGAAACAAATCAACTTCATATGGAAAGGGAAGAGGCCCTGAATAAGTAAAGCATTACTGAAGAAGAACAACAAAGTGGGAGACCTCGCACTACCTGATTTTAGAACCTGTTACACCACCATGGTAGTCAAAACAGCCTGGTACTGGTACAACAACAGATACATAGACCAATGGAACAGAATTGAGAATCCAGACATAAATTCATTCACCTATGAGCAACTGATATTAGACAAAGGCCCAAAGTCCATTAATTGGGGAAAAGACAGTCTCTTTAATAAATGGTGCTGGCATAACTGGATATCCATCTGCAAAAAACTGAAACAAGACCCATACCTCACACCATGCACAAAAACTAACTCAAAATGGATCAAAGACCTAAATATAAAATCAAAAACTCTAAAGATCATGGAAGAAAAAATAGGGCAACGCTAGGAGCCCTAAACCATGGCATAAACACAATGAACCGTAAGTAACAATGCACAAGCACCAGAAGAGAGACTAGATAAATGGGAGCTCCTAAAAATCAAACACTCATGTTCCACAAAAGACGTCACCAAAAGAGTCAAAAGACAACCTACAGACTGGGAAAAAAAATTTTTTTTAATTTTAGGTAAAGGTTTACAAAACAAATGTTTCCTGATTAAACAGTCCCTACACATATTGTTGTATGACATTGGTTAATAAACCCATGACATGTCAATATGCTCCCATTTCTGCCTTGGAGGACCTTTTTTTTGGTGAAAACATACATAGCCAAAGATACACCGTTTCAAAAATTTCTACATGTACAATTCAGTGACGTCGATTACATTTTTGCAGTTGTGCTGCTATTCTCACTTTAGATGAAGGTTTACAGAACAAAATAGTTTCTCATTAAAAAGTTAGTGCAAATATTGCCCTGTGACAATGGTTAAGAACCCCACTTGTCAACACAGTCCTTACTCAACCTTGGGTTCCCTATCACCAGTTTTCCTGTCCCCTTCTGTCTTCTAGTCCTTGTCCCTGGACTGCTGTGCCTCATTAGTCCCATTTTGTTTTATGCGGCTGTCCAATCCCTGGCTGAATGGTGAACCTCAGGAGTGACTTCACCACTAAGCTAAAAAGGTGTCTGGGGGCCATGCTCTTGGAGTTTCTCCAGTTTCTTTCAGGCCAGTAAATCTGGTCTTTTCTGTGTGTGTGTTAGAATTTTGTTCTACATCCTTCTCCAGCTCTGTCTATAACCCTCTGTTGTGCTCCTGGTCATAGCAGTCGGTGGTAGCCCGGCACCATCTAGCTGTACTGGACTCAGTCTGGTGGAGGCCTTGGTAACTGTGGTCCATTAATCCTTCGGACTAATCTTTTCCTTGTATCCTGTTCTCTTCATTCTCCCTTGCTCCCAAAGGGATGAGACCAGTGGAGTGTCTTAGATGGCTGCTGAAAGGCTTTTAAGACCCCACACGCTACTCACCAAGGTAGAATGTAGAACATTGTCTTTATAAACTGTGTTATGCCACTTGAGCTAGATGTTCCCTGAGACCATGGTCCCCACAGCCCTCTGCCCAGCATTTCAGTCCCTCAGGGAGTTTGGATGTGTCTATGGAGTTTCCGTGACCTTTCCTTGTACAAGTTGTGCTGGGTTCCCCAGTATAGTGTACTGTCTTACCCTTCACCAAAGTTACCACTTATCTATTGTCTATTTAGTATTCCCCCCGACACCCTTCCCATCCCTCATAACCAACAAAGATTGTTACTTCTTGTGTGTAAACTTTTTCATGAGTTTTTACAGAAGAGGTCTCATACAATCATTGTCCTTTTGTGATTGACATATTTCATTCAGCATAATGTCCTCCACTTTCATCCATGTTATCAGATGCTTCACAGATTAATCATTGTTCTTTCTCGTGGCATAGTACTCCATTGTGTGTATGTACCATAGTTTGTTTATCCATTCATCTATTGATGGGCATTTTGATTGTTTTCCATCTTTTTGCGATTGTGAACAGTGCTGCCATGAACATGGATATGCATATGTCTATTTGTGTGATGGCTCTTATTTCTCTAGGATATATTCCTAGCAGTGGGATTGGTGGATCCTATGGTATTTCTATTTCTAGCTTTCTAAATAAGCACCCTATTTTTCAAAATGGTTCTGTCATTATGAATTGCCGCCAGCAGTGCATACGAGTTCCAGTCTCCCAGCAGCCACTCCAACATTTGTTATTTCCAGTTTTTTTGATTCTTGCCATTAATGCCAGGGTGAGATGGTATCTCATTGTGGTTTTAATTTGCATTTCTCTACTGGCTAGTGAACGCGAGCATTTCGTCATGTCTGTTGGCCACTTGAATGTCTTTGGTGAAGTGTCTGTTCATTTCCTTTGCCCATTTTTTAATAGGATTATTTGTCTTTTTGTTGTAGAGGTGTTGGATTTTCTTGTAGATTATGGA